CCTTATGCCAATATCACATCACCTTGACTTTTTACTGTAGTTTATAGTGAGTATACTAAGCCTTAAAACTAGATTATAGCTTTGTTCTTAAATATTTCTTTGGCTCATCTAGAGCCTCTCTAATTTCCATGTAAATTTTCAAATGAATCTGTCAGTCTCTACAATTTTGCTGGGACTTAGACTAGGATCCAATCTATAGCTTAATTTGAGAAGAACGGATATCCTAACAATATTGAGTCTTCTCTTCCAAGATATATCATTTCACTTATTTAGGTCTTCTTTTTCTCACAAAGTTTAGTCATTTTCAGTGCACTATTCCTAAATATTTTGTGCTTTTTAATGCTATAGTTGTTTTTAATTTTCATTTTCCATGACTACTTACATAAAAATTCACAGGCTTTTTCATACTGACCTTTTACCCAGAAATATTGCTAAATTCATTCAGAAAACACAACTTTGTTTGATTTCCATCTTTTAAAATGCACTGAGATCTGTCTTATGGCTCTGAATATGTCTCTCTAGGTTAATACTCCAGGTGCATGTGAAAAGAATGCATATTCTGCTCTTGTTGTTGGAATGTTCTGCAAATGTCAATTAAATCAAGTTAGTTGATGGTACTATCCAACTCCCCCTGTATCCTTAGTAATTTTCTGTCTACATGTTCTATCAACGCTCAAGAGTATTAAAATGTACAACTACAACCCTGGCTGGTTTGGCTCAGAGGATTGAGTGCTGGGCTGCAAACCAAAGGGCTGCTGGTTCAATTCCCAGTTGGAGCACATGCCTGGGTTGCCAGCCAGGCCCTTTGTGGCGGGCATGCGAGAAGCAACCATGCATTGATGTTTCTCTCCCTCTCTTCCTCCCTTCCCCTCTCTCTAAAAATAAATAAAATGTACAACTACAATTGTACATTTGTCTATTCCTCCTTTTGATTTTTGTCAGTTTTGGCTTTTTGTACTTTGACGCTCTGTTATTAGGCATATATATATATTTAGGATTATTACATCTTCTTTATGAAATGACTCCTTTATTATTAGGAGATGTACCTCTTTATCCCTAGTAACATTCTTTGTTCTGAAGTCTACATTTTTGGATATTAATATAACTGCTCAAGCTTTCTTTTGATTAGTTTTTGCATGGTATGCATTTTTCTGTACTTTTACTTTCAAATTGTTTATGTCTTAATATTTAAAGCAGTTTTTACATATACTATAGACAAGAGACTTTTACATATAAAATTTGATAAACTCTAGATTCTGATAAGAGTTTATAAAGCTGGGTTTAAATCTATCATCTTGCTATTTCTTTTCTATTGCTCTGTCCATTGTTCCTTTTTCCTTCTTCTCTACCTTTTTTGGATTGAGCTTTTGAAAAAGAAACCATTTAATCTCCTCCAATATAGGCCTGTCAACTATAGCTCTTTACTTTTCTAGTGGCTCCTCTAGAGTAAATGTCAAGAAACACACACATACCCTCTCTGAAGTACCAGAGAGATTTGTAGAATTTGCAGGCCATAGACTCTCTGTCACAACTACTCAGTTCTGCCATCCCACCACCAAATAGCCATAGACATGAGTGAGTGTGACTGTCTTTTAATAAAATTTTAACTGCTAAAGCAAACAGCAAAACACTTTGTCAGTGTGGGGGTGGGGGGAGGCAGTAAACCAGATTTAGTCTTCCGGCTGAAGTTTGCCAGCCCACGCTCCAGGATTTAGAATATATATCTTTTACTTATCACAATCTACCTTCAAATAATATTTGGTCACTCCAATTACCCATACAAGCACTTTGCAGTCATACATGGTTCTTTTTCCTTGTTCCTGTCTTTTGTATTATTGTCATGTATTTTTATAGAAGCTATAAATGCTACATTATTTAATCAATTAATTTTTAAAGAGATTTTAAAATGACAAAAATGTTTTAACATTTACCCATGTGTTTAGCCTTCCTGCCCTTCTTTATTCCTTTTGTGTTAATCCACATTTCTACCTGGCATCGTTTTCCTTCAGTGTGAAGAAATTCCTTTAACATTTACTGAGATGCAAATCTACTGGCGATGAATTCTCAGCTTTAGTTTGTTTGAAAAAGTTTTTTTTACTTCAATTTTGAAAGACATCTTTACTGAACAAGAATTCCTGGTTCCCTAGTACTTCAAAGATGCCTCTGTAGTGTCTTCTGGCTTGCGTAGTTGCCGAAAAAAGGTTCGTCTCATTTTTCTCTGACTGCTTTTAAGATCTTCTCTTTCTCCTTGGTTTTAAGCAATTTGATTATAATTATAATGTACCTTCATGTAGCTTTCTTCATGCTTATTTTGCTTGGGTTTTACCGAGTTTCTTGGATTTCTGAGTTTATATTTTTCATCACATTTAGAAAATTTGGAGTACTTTCTTCAAGTGTACTTTGCTTTCTCCCCTCTATCTCCTCTCTTCTGGGATCCCAAATATAAGCATACTAGAGCACTTGATATTGCACTGCAGGTCATCACGGTGGTTTTCATTGTTTAATCCAGCATTATTCTTTGTGTTACTGCAATGTCTTCAAGGTCCTTGTCTTTTTTCTTTTGTTGTGTCTAATCTGCTGTTAAGCCAATCCAGAAAATTTCCATTTCAGATATTTGTCAGCCTTTGAAGTTCCATTTGTTCTTTTTATATTGTCCCATTTTTTCATTGTTGTAGTTATGAATTCCTTTAAATCCAAAAACATATTTATAATAGCTATTTTTAAAATTCTGTAAAGTAATTCTCTACTAATTCTATCACCTCTGTCACTTCTAGGTCTGTTTCTATTGATGGCATTTCCTCCTGGTTATGGATCACATTTCTTCACACATCTAGTGATATCTGACTAGATGCTGAGCACATTGTTAAATGTCTGGGCTTTGTTGTCTTCCTTCAAAGAGTGTGGAGTTTTGTTTTGTCAGGCAGTTTAGTTACTTGTACATCAATTTGCTCCTTTTCAGGGTCCTTTCCAAATGTTATTAATAAGGATTTCAGGTAGTTCTTACTCTAGAGCAGAGGTTGGCAAATTCATTTAATAAAGGGCCAAATAGCAAATACGGAATGGGGCAAAAGTCAGTTTAGAGTTATTTGTATGAAAAATAATAAAATAACTAATAAATAATAATACAAAAATTAATTCTGTTCCACGTACTCACAACTGTAAACTAATTTTTGCCCCACCTGTATTTTATACTTTGTGAGCCTAAAGTACTCAACTCAACTCTGTAAACAAATATGTGACTGTGGTACAATAAAACTTTATTTACAAAAATCAGTGCCAAGCTAGATTTGACCTGTTGGCCATAGTTTTCCAACCCCTGCCCTGGAGCTAGTGTATCCCCAATACTAATGCCCCTCTGGAGTCTCTACTGATATTCCAGGGTGTTCAATGACATCTTCCAACTCCAACTGGTGTTCCCAAATAGTGTTATTTTCCTAGCCTCATGGAATCTCATCTCATGTAACTGTAGCTTATTCTTCAGCCAAAACTCAAGAGGACCCCAAGGTATATTTATAGAACTCCTTCTCTGAATAGTTCCTTCTACTTCCATACTATGCCTCTCAAATTTAAGCCACCTCAGCCTCCCTGAACTCTTGTTTCTGGGACCACCATACTGTGCTGCGTTCCCTCTCTGTGCTCTACTACAGTATGAAAAATGTCCTACTGTAGAAAGCCAAGATAGAGTATAGGGTAGGGACAAAAGAAATGAAGCTAAGTATTTCCATCCTCTAGCTGAACAGAAAGTCCAGGGTCAGGAGAGGCACAGCAAAATCATTCCAGAATCAAGAGACCTGCAAGGCTCCTGCTAGCCCTCCCCATTTGACTTCACCAAATACAGGAAGGTGTGGTGCATGGCTATGATCTATTCATTCCAGTTGTACTGCTTTTGCTGTGATACCTTAGATGCCAATGTACTATGGTGGTTTTGGAAAAGCTAAATTTCTTCCTCATAAGTCAAATTATCCCACTGGGCCACCATTTTGGATCCCATTTTAACCTCCTAGTTGAAATGACAGGCTCAAAATTTACCCCCCTCTCCCAATATCCAGCTAGAGTAGTCTCCCATAAAAAGCCAAAGGATTCACAATAAAAGAATAATCCAAAAGAAAAATTACCTTGCTCAACTATAACAGGTAGTTGAACAAAGCCATGGAGATGAAACCAGACAGATCATTTAACAACCTCTCTCTATAGGACCAAATGTAATTTTAGAAGCAACCCACTTTACAGCTAGGTAAGTAAGACTCAGCAATGGGATTGTTTTATTTTCCTATGTGGGTATGTGGTCCAATGGCCCAGCATTCTTCTGATACGGATTCATTTTTCTCTCGCTGGAAACATTTTCAGGTGTGGAAGGACCAGACATGGGCCGCTGTTTTTTATTTTAACATACTAAACCTGCTGGTGTCTTCTTCCTGTGACAGGATTTCAGGATAATGCCTGTTTCTCTGCATTTTCTGCCTTACTTCATTTCATGCCAGATACCTGCTATTATTCAGTCATTTGTTTTGTTATTTAAAATGGGTTAGTAGCATGCCAAAGTTTTTTTCCCACAAGTCAGCAGAAAGAATCAGTACTTTTGCTCAAGGGATGTTAAATAGCAAAGTACCTCACTGCTATAAGAATTTATAACTTTTTTTACCGTTTTGGGTTTTTTTAACTTAACAAGGTGCTAAATATAAGAACTCTATACATTTAACTCAAATCACCAGCAAGACTGGCCTATTTGTGGAGACCAGAGGCTTGTAAGATAAACTGCTCACATTAGGAGCTTAGTCTCCCTTCTACCACCATTACTGAAACTAGGAGTAAAAACCATGAGAGAATTCCAAACCAGTTCTGCCTGGAGATCAAAAGCAGGATCTCTGGTCTTCAAAGAACTCCTGGCTGATTCTGGCTGCAACCACTGGCATAGAGGAGTCACCATATTTCATCAAAAGACATTATTCCTCACCTCCCATTTTCCAAACAAACATTTCCCAAAAATAAAAAGGACTTACCCTACTATTACTATAACAAAATCCAGTAAATTCCATCCATTCCTAACATAAGCATTAGGATGTAGCAATAATCCATATGCTATAATCTTCAAAAATGTCTCGACTGTAAAAATAATCAGGAAGGCATATTCTACTTTTTCCTGTGAAGAGAAACAAAGGGTGGGGGGGAGAAGAAAAGATTTTAAAAAATAGGTATTAGAATCAATATCTCTTATCCAAGCACTTTTTTCCAAGAAAAATTTCACTATGAGAAATGGAATAATTAACTTTGCACCTGGGCCAGGAAGGCATTTTAATTCTAACACCGAGCTGCTCATAAGCAACTAAGTAAGTGTAAGACACTTTTCATTCAGGGCTGCATGACTGCGTTTTGCCACCTGCCCTGATGCATGTGCAATGAGCCTGCCTAGGACATAACAGGCATATTTGTTATTTGCACATATTTGCAAAACGCAGCATGTTTTCCTCCTGAGGTTGCCGAATCGGGCCCCAAAAAGCATGAGGGTGCCACAAAGATTCCAACGGTGGCTTTGAACAGAATGTCCTCTGTAAGAAAGAAGGGTGTGTTTGTTTTGACCCTCTCTTGCTCCTTGGGCTAATGTCTGACTTCTGAGTCAGGGTCAGCTTTGTCACTGAGCAGCAGCTTCTGGCAAAGCCTCTCCTCTTCTCTGGACCTAAGTTTTCATCCACACAGTAAACAGGGTGAATTCAGGATGAAAAGCCCACTGCCTGCTTATAGGCATGTCGCCTCACTCAGATGACACTGCTGCTCTCTCGGATGATACTGCTGAATGCTGAATGGTCACCACACATGTTCCCAGGCCGGACTCGACCTTCTCCTCTAACAGCCCCAGCACTCATTCCCATGTGATTGCCACAGACTTCCAAGACGCTGTCCTCAGGCCACAAGACTCTTAGAGCCTTTCCAGTTCCAACTCCTGCAATGCCATGAGTATAGAAAATACATTCACCAGGGACCTTAACTTGGAGAACTAAAAGGAAGAGCAATTCTGTTGTTTTAACCAGAAGCAAAAATCCCTGACAATACCAATCCAGTATACTGAAATTATACTCTGATCACCAAATGTAGATCGTCAATATGTTTTAGAGACTTAGAGTTCTAAGGGAACAAGATAAGCTGAAAATAGGACACTGATTTTATAATTCCACTTCCCTTTATATCCTTTCTGCTTTATTTACTAGGCCAGATAGGAGGGGAAAGATTTTTGCTGGCATCAATATTCGCAGTTACATCCCTACATCGACACAGAGCTATACTTTAGAGCAGAAAAACAAGACAAGGAACAGAGAGTACACCTACCAAACACAGCTTGTTTTTCTACTTTGGCTTTTATTTATAAGTAATTTTGCCACAGTAATACAGGGGCTATTAGTATAACTGAATTGTTTAGGGTTCTTTTATCCCCTTCTCTTGCCCTCTTCTTTCTCCTTTATAAAGAATTTGGTTTCTCTTTCCAAAATCCTCAGTGCATTACTTGACAGATGATTATAAGGAATACAGCCTTGCTTTAATGTGATTCTTTATTACAGAGACTCTACCATAATGCCAGCTAAATAATCATAGCCTGGAGAGCATGACAGACCAATGTGCATAGAAGCCAGTGTCATCCTGGTCTCAACCCTCCTGTTAAAAAAGACTCCTATAAACCAAATACACCTCCATATTAAGCAAATGTATTATAAAAAGAAATCTTACAAAACAATCATAGGAAGAGAAGGTAATTACCTACTTCACAAAAAAATATGATCATTTGAGGAGAGCATGTTGAGTTAGTAATTTGAAAAGGAAGCCACAAAGAGTCAGGACCCTAACTAGGTGAGGTGGGAATGGGCACAGGGTTGAAGGAGCCGGTGGCAAGTCCCACAGAGCAGATGCAGAATCTGTGGCCAGGATGGAGGAGCGCATGGAAGAAAAAGAAGCAGTAGGAATGAAGGAATGGGGCTGCATGAGCTGGGCATGAAAGGAGGTGTCCCTGGGCAAGGCTGCCCCTTAAAGCCCTACCCCAGGCTAAACAAAAAGAATAAATCCCTGCACCCCAATCACCCTGCATTTGCCAGGCAGTCATGTGCTTGTGGCACTCACCAGCTACCAGCAGGGATTCCTCTCCCTGCTAGGTAGGTGGGCAGGGTGAGTCAAACCTCCTTTTAGGAAACAACACCAACCTGGCCAGTGTGGCTCAGTTGGTTGGGTGTCATCCAACAAAGTAAAAGTTGCTGGTTCAATTCGCAGTCAGGGTACATGCCTGGATTGTGGTTTCAACAGATCGAAGTTTATCTCCCTTTCTTTCTCCCTCTCTTCCCCTCTCTCTAAAAGTTAATAAATAGATAAATAAAAAAAACTTTTTTTAAAAAACACCAATTCCTTCAATTATTTTTTCATTTTTTTATTCATCTTATTGATTATGCTATTACAGTTGTTCTGATTTTATTCCCTTTGCACCCCTCCACCCAGAAACCCTTACTCTCTCAGGCAATCCCCACACCATTATTCATGTCCATGGGTCACACATGTAAGTTCTTTGGCTACTCCATTTCCTACACTGTACTTTACACCCCCATGGCTATTCTGTAACTACCTACTTGTACTTCTTAATCCCCTTACCTGTTCATCCATTCCCCCATACCACCCCTCCCATCTGGCAACCATAAAAATGCTCTCTGTATCCATGATTCTGTCTCTGTTCTTCTTGTTTGCTTAGTTTGTTTTTTAGATTCAATTGTGGACAGATATGTATTTATTGCCATTTTACTGTTCGTAGTTTTGATCTTCTTTCCTTAAATGAGTCCCTTTAACATTTCATGTAATAATGGTTTGGTAATGATGAACTCCTTTAGCTGTTTCTTGTCTGGGAAGCTCTTTCTCTGCCCTTCCATTCTAAATGACAGCTATGCTGGGTAGAGTAATCTTGGGGGTAGGTCCCTGCTTTTCATTACTTAGAATCTATTTCTTGCCAGTCCCTTCTACCCTGCAAAATTTCTTTTGAGAAGTCAACTGACAGTCTTATGGGAACTCCCTTATAGGTAACTAATTGCTTTTCTCTTGCTGCTTTTAAGATTCTCTCTTTATCTTCAGCCTTTGGCATTTTAATTATGATGTGTTTTGGAGTGGGCTTCTTTGTATCCATATTGTTTGGGCCTCTCTGTGCTTCTTGGACTTGCATGTCTATTTCCTTCACAAAATTGGGGAGGTTTTCTTTCATTATTTTTCAAATCAATTTCCAATTTCTTATTCTTTCTCTTCTCCTTCTGGCATCACAATGATGTGAATGTTGGACCTCTTGAAATTTCCCCAGAGACTGCTTACACTATCCTTATTTTCTTTGGATTTCTTCTTGTTGTTCTGATTGTTGTTTTTTGCTCTCTCATGTTCTAAATCATTGATTTGATTCTTGGCTCCATCCACTGTACTGCTGAAATGAACCTCAAAACTGCTCATTTCAATTATTATATCATTCGTTTCTGACTGGATCTTTTTTATGCTGTTGAGGTCATCACTAAGTTTCTTGAGCATCCTTATAAACAGTGTTTTGAACTCTGCATCTGATAGATCACTTATCTCCATTTTGTTTCATTTTTTTTCTAGAGTTTTGATCTGTTGTTTCATTTGGTCTGTGCTTCTTTGTCTCCTCATTTTGGCAGCCTCCTTGTGTTTGTTTCTGTGTATTCGATAGAGCTGCTATGCCTGCCTATCTTGGTAGCATAGCCTAATGTAGTAGGTGTCCTATAGGGTCCAGTGGCACAGCCTCCCCTATCATCCAAGTTGGGTAATCACAGTGTGCCCTCTATGTAGGCTGAGTATACCCTCCTCTTGTAGCTGAGCCTTGATTGCTATTGGCAGGTCAATGGGAGGGATTTTCCCAGGCCAGTCAGCTGCATGGATTGGCCATGATCACTGACCACCAACCTCTACCTTCCATGGAGGATCAGCTCTGCAGGGGTGCTCTGACATGGGCTGTAGATGGCCACTGGGTACAGAAGCTCTGGGGTTTCCCAGGTGGTGCAAGCCAAGGTCAGCCCCCACCTGTGTTCTTTCTGGGGCCACCCAGCCTGAGCTATGAAGCAATTCGAGATGGCTGCTACTTGTGCTGGGCTTGAAGATTCCCAGGCGAAGCCAAGCTATGAATCTAGGCTTGCTGTTGCTAGTGCTGGGCCTGAGGCCACTTAGCAAGAGGTACAGAGGTTAGGGGCTTACTGAAGCCAGCTATGGCTTGTTTGATAGGATTTAGGAAGTTGTTAAGCCTGATCCAAAACCAGTCACTCATATGGAAAAGTCATGGTTAACAGTTTCAATGGGCCCCTAAATTGGGTGGGTTGAATCTCAGGGGATCTCCAGGGTGGAGCAAAGAGTGTTAGCCAGGTTGATGGAGTCAGCTATGGCACCAGCCTGCCAGCACTGAGGTTGTGTAAGTGGAGGGCTCAGCAAAGGGACAATGGCCGCTGCCTGCCTTTCTGACTGAGAGAAATCTGTTCCCCAGGTCCTGCCTTGATACCAGACACTTTAGTTTTTCCCTGAATGCCACTGGTGCCTTTCAAGCTGTTACCCTGGTGCTGGAGCAGAGGAAATGACTTTTAATAGAAACTGCTTGGGACTCTAAAGGTTTCTTCCACCATCTCAGTCCCCACTGGTTTTTGCAGCCAGAAGTTATCTTCCTGGCACTGGAACCCTGGGCTACGGAGCCAGTTGTGGGGCTGGGACTCCTCACTCCTGAGATATCCCTTTTGGATTTTCATCTACCACACATGGGTGAGAAAGCAGCCCATTCCACATCTGCACCCCTCCTACCAGTCTGGATGGAAGTGGTTTTTTTAATTCCATAGTTCTCAGACTTCCATTCAACTCACTTTTTGATGGTTCTAAGTGATGGTTGTTCTATAGTTTAGTTGTAATTCTGATGTGGTTCTGCAAGGAGGTGAGCCATGTTTACCTATGCCACCAACTTGACCAGTACCTGACTCTCACAAATTCCTCTTAATCAGAGATCATGCTATATGAATGAAAGTCCCTCGTTAGACTTCAAGCCACCAGAGAAATAAAGGCTCCAAATTTAATTCTAAAACCTGACTTATTTTCTTTAAACATTGAAGTTTTACCAACAGGAGAGGCTCTAAACCAACAATC